GATTTACAGACACAAGTCTGGGAAGTCAGGCAGGGCCAATTCTTGTAAGTGAATAACCCCACCTTTCACTGCCATAGACCTTTCTCACTCTGCAAAGCAGTTTCAGAATCCCTGACAATATTAGTGTGAAGTGCGCAGGTTGACAAAATCAGCAAAGTGGCTGAGAAAATTCTCAAGGTCACCAGGGCTGCCTCTAGAAGCCAGCTTGTATGACCCTGAAAACAGTGCTCATCTGTCTCACCAGCCTCACCCCCATTACAACTCAGATCCAGTTTTATAGGGTTGCAGATGGAGAGAAGGGCTTTGCTCAAGAACACACAATGAGCAGGAGGGAGGCACACCTGGGCTACCATCCAGGAGTCGGACTTCTGGGAGGGACCCTCACAGACCAATCTTGGCCAAGTTTTGATGGCCTCTCACTACCCCCACTACTGGCAGGGCAGTATTTAGCCTTTAGGCGTGAAATATGTTCACCTCGCAGAATCACTGGGGGTCCGTTTGAGCCCCAGCTCAAATACCCACCACATTTTTATATGCTTCCTCGTTGAAGGTGAGCTTTCTCCGGCCAATGAGCGTGACTTTGGAAAATAGGCCCTGCTCCAGGATTTCCTTTAAGAGCGCTCTGCCGGTTTCTCCGCTGGCGCCCAAAATAAAGACGGATTTATTCTGCATCCTGAAGTCTTCTCGAAGCTTCGACAGTGCTTCTGTTTCGGCCATGCTGAGGAAATAACATCGACAGGTGCCGATCTTAGAGTGTCAGGGGACTGCCCGTCTTTACCCCAAGGAACAAGGGCTGTTTATCTGTTCGGGAAGAGGATATTGTTCTCCGCAGCCCAGGCCCTGGGGAAAGTGCTGACTCACGTGCGGGGCGCGGCTCCCGGGCCATCCCCCGTACCTGAGCCAGCCGACCCATCGGAAGGGGCCCGAGCTGGAGGGTGAGCCCAGGTGCCACAAGCTTCTGGCACCACTGGGCATCCCCCACGGTATCCCTGGCCCGGCCAGGAGACCGGGCCCAGCTCGGTCCCATACGCGGAGGGGTTACCTGGGGCCAGCCCCCGGCCCCGGGTCCTCACGACGCAGCAGAAGCAGAGCGGCCACCAGAGCAGCCGCCGCCGCGCTCAGCGCCGCAGGCCCGGCCATCAGAGCATCCCACCTTCCCTTGTCGGCCCGGGGCGTTGGAGGCGACGGAGCCAGTGCCTACCCGGCTTGGTCTTCCGGGTGGCCTCGCGGCGACGCTGCCTCGCCCCGCCCATAGGGGCGGGACCTGGGGACAAACTCCCTGCAGCTTCACAGGCGCGGGGAAGGTGACTCTGAGAGCACGTGCGCGGAGCCGCGACCCTTCCTAAGTCAGGAATCTGCAAGGACCCTCTCCCCGCGTTTTCCCTCACCTGCTGCGCTCAGCTAATAGACTTGCCAGACTTGATCTTCAATGGCCCCCAAACTGGAATGTCAATTGTATATTGGCTATCATCTCAAATTCACCGTGTCAAAAACTTAACCCTGCCCACCCAACCACCCCAAACAGGAATAAAACAAACCTATTCCTAGCCTGTCTTGTGTGTCACCATCCCTACATACACATACACACACATATGCACACACACACACACCCCTCCTTCTGCTCTGTCAAGTCAAAAATCAGACTATCTCTTTTGATTCCTTTTTTTTTCTAGCCTTTCCACACTACAGACTCATCAAGTCCTGTTATCCCATCTGCCTTACAAATATTTCTCCCATGTAATTCAAGCTCTCATCATATCTCCCCAGTATAACTGGTCTCCCTGCCCAGGTCCTGGCCTAATTCGGTCTTCTAGATGGTGGAACCCGGGTGACCTTCCACACCTGTGATTCAGGCTTCCTAAACCAGATCAGTGGTTTGGAACACAGCTATCTACACTCGGCCTGTCCTGGATCTTGGAAGTCCTGAACAGAGGTTAGAATGACAAGCAGAAATCTGAATAATTTCAGATTGTTCAGGTTGTGCTGGGAACATTGGTCATTTGGGGCTCCATCTCCCATCTAGAAGACAATGAAACACATTCCCTCTTCCATCTCCATGGGAGTTTTTATATGTAGGCTTTGCTTAGGCTCAGCCAACCAGAGGCTCACACATAGGTTTTCAGTTTTCGAGGAGTAATGAAAAGATGCAGTGAAGCCTGAGATATATGTTGGTTTGTTGGGGCAGGGGTACAGGATTATGGCATCATGTGATCCACCCGCCATCTGATGGTCTGATCTTGTCTTAAATTCCTGCCTTAATTCCTGTCTGTTTTCAGAGACTGTTGTGAACACAGTACTTCTGTTACTCTTCTGATACATTCCTGTGCTGTGTAAGCTTACCAGATATATTCTGTTATTGGCAATAAAAAAGCTTGATTGATACAGAGCAGTGTGGTTCATTCCCCACTGGCCTGCCACAGCACCTGGACTCTTCCCTTTGAGTTCCTAAAGCTTTTCTACAAGAATGCAATGTTAAACCTTGTCAGCAAACACTGTCCTAGTAATTCATTTATCAAATCTGTCACAGAAATTATTCATTGTACCCTACTGTCTATTCTTCCCCTTTTGTTTGTTTAAAATTGTGGCATAATTAATATACATTAAAATGTACAGATCCTAAAGGTTCTGTTCCACGATTTTAGAAGATTGTATATACACCTAAATAACCACCACCAAAAATAAGATATAGAGCATGTCTGCCATCCCTGAAAGTGCCTTCATTCCCTTCTTGACAATCTCTCCCCTCTCCAGAGGCAATCACTTTCTGGTCACTATCAACATAGTTTTGCCTGCTGTCGAATTCTATTTAAGAGTACAGCATGTACTCTTTCATGTCTCAGGTGTTTGGCTTAACACATGTTTTAATATTTATTCTTGTTTGTAGGGCTGCATTATGATTTCTGTGGGCCCTAAGCACTTCATGAGCCCCTTCATTTTATGCACACACACTATTTATATAATCAAAAATTATGTCTTATGACTATGTTGCTATAAAGATGAACATGACAATTTCTTCCACCTCAAACATTTTCTTCCACCTAAAAGTTTATTTTCACAGGCCCCAGAACTGTGCCTACTATGCCAAATGAGTAAATCAGCCCTGGTTGTTTCATGTATCAGGAATTCATTCCTTTTTATTGCTGAGTAGCCTTCCAGTATTCCAGTATGAATATCCCACAACATGTTTAAACATTATTCTGTTGATGGACATTTGGTTTGTTTCTACTTTTTGGCTAATTACGAATAAGGCTTCTATGAACATTATTGGACCAGTCTTTCTTCAGTAACATGTTTTCCTTACTCTTGGACATATACAAACACACACACATATATATACATATATACACACACATACACACACCCCATATACACATATGTAATGTATATACATATGTGTACATATACATAATGTATACACATATGTATATATACATATACATATGTGGCTATATACATATATATACACACGTGTGTGTGTATGTACATAACAGAGCAAGATAGAGTCTTGCTCTGTTGCCCAGGCTGGAGTGCAATGGCACGATCTTGGCTCACCACAACCTCCACCTTCTGGGTTCAAACTTTTCTCTTGCCTCAGCCTCCTGAATAGCTGGGATTACAGGCACACACCAACATGCCTGGTTAATTTTGTATTTTTAGTAGAGTTGGGGTTTTGCCATGTTGGCCAGGCTAGTCTTGGACTCCTGATTTCAGGTGATCCGCCCACCTTGGCCTCCCAAAGTACTGGGATCACAGGCATGAGCCACCATGCCCAGCTACTTATGGACATATGTTTTTATTACTTTTCAGTAGATACCTAGGAGAAGAATGATCAAAGAATTCTGTAAGATAGATGTACCATTTTACATTATATTTTCACCCACTTGGTATCATCAGTCTTTTAGTTTTGACCAGGGTCAAATAGCTCCTTATCTCTCATCTCTCTTTCTCTCTTTCTTTGTCACCCAGGCTGGAGTACAGTGGCACTATCATGCCTTGACCTCCTGGGCTCAAGTGATCCTCCTGCCTCAGACTCCTGAGTAGCCGGGACCACATGTATGCACCACCATGCCCAACTAATTTTTAAAAATTTTCTGTAGAGACAAGATCTCTCCATGTTGCTCAGGCAGGTCTTGAATTCCTGGCTTCAAGCCATGCTCCTGCCTCGGCCTCCCAAAGTACTGTGGTTACAGGTATGAGCCATCATGCCCATCCTTGCCTTTCTTTTAGCAATATGGTCCATAGGTTTATTAGAACATGTGGCTGCCCATTCAGATTTTATATTTCCTGGTATTACTTGCAAGCTAGCATGAGCACGTGACAGTGATATAGCCAATGAGAAGCAAGCAGAGGTAATATGTGCAAATTTGAATCACATCTTTATAAGGAAGTTACCTTCTTTCCCTTCACTTTCCCTTTCCCCCTTTCCTTAGGCCAGAATGTGAATGTACTGGTGAACCAGCTCTGACCATGAGTAGAAAGACACTCTCTAGAGGATAGCAGGGCAAGGTGTCCTTGGATGACTTTCATAGAACAGAGCTGCCTACCCACCCTGGACTGCCTGCACGCCTCTGGGCAGTGAGAGAAAAATAAACTTCTGTCATGTTGAAGCCACTGTAATTTTGTTACAGCAGCTTAGCCAGCGTTTTGCCTAATGTAAGATTCTTTTAGTCAATCTTGTCAATGGATATTTACTGATTATCTAATGCGAGCCAGATACTGTGCTAGGTACTATAGATTTTTCCAAGATGAATCAGGGACACCAGCTAAACTCACTCTCATCTTGAAGGCAAGTCATAAATACTTGGGAAGCTAAATAAAGTTCAGCAACATTATAAAACATCCCCCAAACTTTCATAGAGTAGCACGTGCTGAATGCCAAATGAGCATACAGAAATAGAAGGAAACTCAGAAAAAAACAAGTCCATGCCTTTCCTTCTCTGACAGCTGGAACCTTCTCATGCAGGTGCTGAGATAATGTGACAAGACCTACTCTCCTAGAGCAACTGGACCACAAAAATTCAGGGCAAAGGGGAAGGGGAAAGCATAGGGAAAGAGGGAAAGGGGACATAAGGAAACGGAGGTAGCATGGAAAGATCCTTGGCCAGAGACCTGCCTGCCACATTCAGGTTTGCCTTTCATGAAGTCTCTTCATGTATCTTGGCCTCCATTTCCCTATCTGTAAGATGGGAACTGTTTCATTACATTCACTTTGCTCCAAGGAACAGACTGACTCACATTAACTTGAGTAAAGATGGTGAATATTGTAAGGCTACACATCATGTATAAGAGAGACAAAATCTCAGAGAAATCTCAAAACAGGATCTGCTGCAGGATGGGGCCTTATGGAGACTGGAACTGTATTTAGGTCAGATTTAGAGTCCTCAGGATCAGAGATCCATGCATCTTCACTTCAGAGCTATATTTTTAGTTACACTTTCATTAAGACTGTTTCATGTGTTTGAAGCCCCAAACTCAAAATGTTTTGAGGAAAACAAAAAAAAAAAAGGAAATGTCCTGGCTCGTGTAACTAAAGAATCAGTGTATATAATAGTCTTGGACGTGACCAGAATCAGCCAGTCAGCCAATGGGGCCAGGACCCAGTCCCTCTCCCAACCATGGCTCTACTTTCCTTCATGTGAGTCTTACTCTGAGACCCTGCAAAGACGACCCAAAGGCTGTACTCTTGCTCCTACTCTTCACTGTCTAAACTCAACCAGAAGCTAGAGGGAACTTACACTGTGCAGACCAGTTTTCTTCAGGAAATACAGTAAGGTGGAGAAATGGGGAGAATGGATGATTGAAGCTATCAAGTACATCCTCATAGATTCACGTCCAGCAGAAAGAGCATAATTGTAAGCAGAAGTCCCCAGCTGTATCTCCTTAGTTCTAATTAAACCTCCTGACTGTCACTGTGACTCTGGGAATGAAGCTGGGTGGTGCTATCTCTTCCCACACGTCTGGGAGCAGGGAAGGAGGTAATGTTCCCAAGGAAAGTAGAGGTCACTATTATAGAAAGAAAAGAGAATAGATGTTAAATAGCATCTAAAGTGGTCATCCTTGTTCCCCATTTATCTCATTTATTCGTAAATATGAATGCTGGATATATATATATATATATATATATTTTTTTTTTTTACAAATGAGAGCTTTAAATAACTGTAGCATGACTAAGATATCTGGTTGGGCACATGAAAGGTCGGATTTGGTA